GTTTTCCAAATCATTGACAAAATAAGATTTTATTATATATTTATAACCGGAACAAGAAATCAGACTTGAGCACAAAATCCATGCTTGAGCATGAGAACAGTTTCATGAATACGGACCCAGAAGTATTTCAAAACGTGAGGTTTCTGTTAAAACAAAAATTCGTCAACTGTGTAGTTCAGTTTCCTTGTCATCTATTATATTATCAATAATGTTTTTGCGACATTTGTTTTGTTGGATTGTTTTGATTATTAAGCTACAGTTATACCAGAGCTCCCAGTCGAGTGTTGGTTGGTTATCGTACTTGTATAACCAGCAATAGTCCATTGAAAACTGCATGAAGACACGAGGATCACAATTTATAAATGACCAGACCATCACGAGTAATGGAATATATTTCTATCAGAATATAAAAATCAATATACTATGCGTGGTTCCAGTTTCAAATGCAGAAGAAATAAACCGCAAATCACTCTTTATATTACATCTTCATTTCAAATATGACGTTTGTCTTCAACACCAAATGCATGAAGCAAGCATGTTTATTATTCCGGCTGCTGTATGTTACAAGAAAAAGGAATGATGAAACACATGTTATGTTAGATATGTTATGTTAGATACACGGGTTGAGAGTGATGAAACACATGTTATGTTAGATATGTTATGTTAGATACACAGGTTGGGAGTGATGAAACACATGTTATGTCAGATACACGGGTTGGGAGTGATGAAACACCTGTTATGTTAGATACACGGGTTGGGAGTGGTGAAACACATGTTATGTTAGATACACGGGCTGGGAGTGTTGAAACACATATTATGTTAGGTAGAGTGGTTGGGAGTGATGAAAAACATATGTTAGATTCCCGGGTTGGGAGTGTTGAAAAACATATGTTAGATACACGGGCTGGGAGTGATGAAACACATATTATTTTAGATACACGAGCTGTGAGTGATTAAAATCACATACTATGTTAATTACACGGACTGGGAGTGATGAAAATCACATATAATGTTAATTACACGGGTTGGCAGTGATGAAACACATATTATGTTAGATACACGGGTTGGGTGTGATGAAACACATGTTATGTTAGATACACGGGGTGGGAGTGATGAAACACATGTTATGTTAGAAACAAGGGCTGGGAGTGATGAAACACATGTTATGTTAGATACACGGGGTGGGGGTGATGAAACACAGGTTATGTTAGATACAAGGGCTGGGAGTGATCAAACACATGTTATGTTAGATACACGGGTTCGGAGTGATGAAACACATGTTATGTTAGATAAACGGGTTGGGAGTGATGAAAAACATATGTTAGATACACGGGTTGGGAGTGTTGAAAAACATATGTTAGATACACGGGCTGGGAGTGATGAAAACATATGTTAGATACACGGGTTGGGAGTGATGAAAAACCTATGTTAGATACCCGGGTTGGGAGTGTTGAAAAACATATGTTAGATACACGGGCTGGGAGTGATGAAAACATATGTTAGATACACGGGTTGGGAGTGATGAAACACATATTGTGTTAGATACATGGGATGGGAGAGTTGAAACACATATTATGTTAGATACACGGGTTGGGTGTGATGAAACACATGTTATGTTAGATACACGGGGTGGGGGTGATGAAACACAGGTTATGTTAGATACAAGGGCTGGGAGTGATCAAACACATGTTATGTTAGATACACGGGTTCGGAGTGATGAAACACATGTTATGTTAGATACACGGGGTGGGATTGATAAAAAACACATTATGTTAGATACACGGGTTGGGATTGATAAAAAACACATTATGTTAGATACACGGGTTGGGAGTGATGAAACACATGTTATGTTAGATACACGGGTTGGGAGTGATGAAACACATATTGTGTTAGATACATGGGTTGGGAGTGTTGAAACACATATTATGTTAGATACACGGGTTGGGAGTGATGAAAAACATATGTTAGATACACGGGTTGGGAGTGTTGAAAAACATATGTTAGATACACGGGCTGGGAGTGATGAAACACATATTATTTTAGATACACGAGCTGTGAGTGATTAAAATCACATACTATGTTAATTACACGGACTGGGAGTGATGAAAATCACATATAATGTTAATTACACGGGTTGGCAGTGATGAAACACATATTATGTTAGATACACGGGCTGTGAGTGATGAAAATCACATATTATGTTAATTACACGGGTTGGGAGTGATGAAACACATATCATTATAGAAACACGGGCTGGGAGTGCTGAAAATCACATATTTTGTTAATTACATGGGTTGGGAGTGATGAAACACATATCATGTTAGATACACGGGATGGGAGTGCTGAAAATCACATATTATGTTAAGTACACGGGTTGGGAGTGATGAAACACATATAATGTTAGATACACGGGCTGGGAGTGATGAAAATCACATATTATGTTAATTACACGGGTTGGGAGTGATAAAACGCAGGAGTGTTACACATTTTGTTACAGGAGATCGGAGTTGCGAAACATAAAGTTGGTGCTAGATATATAAGTGGGGATTGGGGACACAAAACACATATAGAAACACGTGATATGCTACCTTGCATGCAGCTTCTCTTCAAATATCTTCCAGATTACAAAGGTGCTCAGATGGTTCAATCAAGAGGGCCAGAGGGCCTGTATTGCTTGTTTGTCATTGTCGCCTGTTACCTTCAAGCCATTGTCAGATCTATGTGAACAAACTTTATAGCAAGTCACATAAGACTAAAGGTTGATATCATTACCTTTCACATCATGGATCTTAATTGAATTTTGATCGTATTTTACATATTGGACTTTCAAAAGTTGATAACTTGCTTGAAACAGTTATGACAGACTTTTACAAGAGCTTGCTACTACTCAAATACCATGACCATATGCTAAACATATTTCACCTTTTTACCTGCTCCAACAATGATAGGGGTTTAACATGGCGAGATACTTTTGACAAGCGCAGTCGGCGGACTCAAATAGGACTACTTTTTGATCTTGTATTTTGATTATTTTTTGTATTTTTGCAGATTTTTGGCATAGCATCTAAGAAAGCTGCTGACCAAATATTATGGTTTTAGGCCTCTTTATTCTGCATAATTAGTCGTTTAGCATTTACACGAACTCTGACTCATACATCTTTAGAGGTCGTAGATTTCAACACGTTTCGCCTTTCAACCTTGAAAAGTGGCAAGGTCATTTATTTGAACCTAGTGAATAGCTCTTTATTACAAGCTAAAAGGGTAAATATTATTCTAGGATCTTTAGAACAAGTCAATTGAAGATCGTAAATATTTGACCTGTGACTTGAAAAATGGTCACCAGTATTTATTCAAATTTGATTGCCCTTTACCCTTAGCATGCTGGTCAAATCAAGACCATAGGCCTCCTAGTTTTCAGAATATGTTGACATATTGCAACTTTGGCCCCGTGACCTTTAATGTGTCAATGTTATTTCTTTTATGAAAATAAACAGCACTTCATGCCAGCATCCAACAGGCCAAATAACTTATGGACTTTCAGTTTTTAAGAAGTCGTTGGATGATTAAACAAGAGGCCCAGAGGACATGTATCGCTCACCTGTTTCTTTTGTTACATCAGATCGAAGGACTATGTATGGTTTGGGCGTGTTTTGGCCCCCAAATGCATCAAAATTCAAAACCTTTAAATGAACTTTGAAAGGACGGTTTACTTTATTTTTGTCATATTTTGCATAGTTTTTCTCCTCGAAACTGTAGAGCGCATGCTTGAACAAACTCAAAATCAAAGGATAATGTGTAGGCACCTGTAATACATCTTTAGGAGAAATATAAAGTTTGTTCAAGAGTGCGCTCTATGGTAACTAAGAGAAAAACTAGGCAAAAACCTGTCAAAATTTACTGAATATTAAAGTTTCATTAATTTATGCAAATATTCACTGGTTACCATGGCAGCCATAATTGAAAACCTAAATAAATGCTCACATAATAGTACCAGGGAAGAATTCAAAATTAAAGAAAGTCATTTGAAAGTTCTATTGAAGATTTTTTATTTTGATGGATTTGGGGGCCAAAAAAGGCCCAAACCATACAGTCCTTTGGCAACTAAAACACAAGACATTTTAACATCTCTTAAACGCTTCTTAAGATATTATTTGAAATTTGAATTTTAAAGCTTTTAACCCACGTTGACTCCGGCTAGCACTTGAAGTTGCCATTTGACCTAATTACTGTAATAAAGAAAAAGATTTGCACTGCTGGTCTACATAGCATACCCAAGTATCATGACTCCAGACCAAATGCTTCTTAGGATATCATTGTTTGAAGTTTTTAACATATTTGACACCTGTGACCTTGAAAGTAGGTAAAGGTCCTTTTAATGACGAAACTTTATAGCACCTCATCCCAGGTCCCTACTGGCCAAATATTATGACCCTGGGCCTTATTGAACTTTAAAAAAAGATTGTTAAAGCTTTTAACCCATGTTGACCTTTGACCCCTGACTAGCACTTAATAGTTGAGATTTGACCTTATAATTATTATTAAAAAAAGATTCGCACTGATGGTCTTCATAACATACCCAAGTATCATGACTCTAGTCCAAATGGTTCTTAGGATATTGTTGTTACTGGCCAGGTAAGCTAAAAATGTGTCATCCCAGTGACCTTGAAAATAAGTCAAGGTCATTCGTTTCTATGAATAAACTTTTGGTTTATCATTTGACCAGTGCCTATGACATTGGGTCAAGGTCCTTTTTTCCCCGTCATCTTGTGTCTTCATTCCCGAGAGATACTAACCAGACATCATAGCTATATACCCTACAAAAAATCTTTTGAAGTAAAAGTTGACGAATGATTGATACCATGTAGACAGACAGACAACAGATACAAACCCAAGAGATTGGCACAAACTATCCAATAAGCTCAGACACTTTTTCAAAGTGAGCTAAAAAAAACTCTCACACTTTGTGTTATAAATGTTTCTACAAAACCAAACAAACACCGTTTATTATTTTCAAGAACTTTTAATTTTTTTTTCCATAATGTTTCAGACAATCTGTAATCAATGACAAGCTTTGTCATTTCACCGCTCATTACATAGCACTAATGACATCACAAAACATAGCATAGAGACCCCAGACCTCATCACTGGAGTCCACGTATAAATGTGTGTAGGTTTACCTTCAGAAAAAGCTAATGTATCAACAATAAGCATTCATCTAACTCATCATCTTCGTGCATCAAATATATTTGCTTCAAACACCAGATAAACCTATGGTGGATAACTGGAAAGTCAGGGCAACTTATTTAAATCTATATACAATGGATATAAAACGGAAAAATAATGGTACAATAAATTATGCCACAGAGGCGTCGAACTGTACTATTAGGTTTGAAGGGAGGTAATCCATACACAGAAACAAAAACTCCTTGCTAAATAATATTTCTATAAAACCTGTAACAACAAAAACACAATTCACGTCATTTATTCTTGGTTTAATTCATCAGTCTGACTTGTAATCACTTGTGTTCTTTAGTGTCAAGATTTGTGGGGGGGATGTTCTGACCCCATTGACATGTTTCTGGTTTTAATCAAACACAAGATTTGTGGGGGGGATGTTCTGACCCCATTGACATGTTTCTGTTTTTAATCAAACACAGCATGCTGCCATCAAGGAAAGTTGTTGCAACAAATCTACTAACACCTTCCATACCTTGGGAAAAAATTGCCATTGAGAACACATTACAAATTTAGATTACAAACAAACAATGCATTATTATAGTTGCACTGGTTACTTTTCTTGCAGGAATTTACTTTGCACATGAAATGATTCATCAAGGTGAATAAATAACATCTAAGATATCATGACGGAATAATCCCCAAGTCTGTATGAATGAAAAATTATGTTCAACAACTGAAGTTGTGATGGAAACGGCACCAGATAACTCCACAACTTAGGGTGATATTATTGATGCACACATTATTACACATAATGTCACGTTAAAATGATAAGTATCCGAGTTTGGGATATATTCTGATTATGAAGAAGTCTATGTTTAACTATAGAGGTCATCATCATCTTGTTCATTGAAGTTTCCTCCAGAGTTTTCCCCTTGTCTTGGCTCATTACTGCCTTCACTTTGTCCAGGGAATCTTTGAAAAACAGAATGTCCATTATTAATAACACATTTATAAAGAACATTAAACAGCCATTGGCTGGGTTTGAGGATAATAGGTGCTTTGTTGAACCTAAGCACCTAAGCCCATTCTATTGCCCAAGGCTAAGGATTCAATGAAAATGTTTAAAACATCTGACAAGATTCATAAGGAATTTATAAATTCTAATAAATAAATAGAATTTGCCAATTACATTACATCTCCAACACATGCAGGCATACACACATAGCGAGATATTAGCCAGGTGGCACAGGACTAGTAGTAAGCACCTGATAAAGCAGCTCCTGCGAATTCCTCAAAATTGTATTGATTAATGTATATGCTAATTGTATTAAAAATGTATATCTATGTACTGTAAAGCGCTTTAGAGTGGCTTATGTTAGCTAGATGGAGCGCTATATCAAATGTTGTATAATATATCATATTATCATAATGTTCTCCCCATTCTAATGAGAAGTGCTCACCTGAAGTTTCCTCCAAATCCTCTGCTCTGTTGCAAGGTTTGTGCGAACATTTCATACTTCCTGATGTCATTGTCATTTACTGATCTCCTGGCAAATTTCATCGACTCCTCGAAGTGAACTCTTGATATCTCTGGTACTGGGTCATAGTCTTCAGTTTCCTTTAATTAAAAACAAAACGTTATATAAAAGAACGTACTGGCAATACAAAACACCATCACATAGTCTTTCTTTGGACTGTGAAGACAACAGTCCATGTTATCTTAATGTAAAAGGTACCACTGCTTCAGTTATAATCGCAAAGAAAAGTTCCACTTAAGTATTTTTCTTTCTATATAGAAGATCAAGCAATCAAAAGATATTTCTGGCTTAAGAATAACTTCTTCGGTCAAGTTATACATCTTTCATGTTCATTGTTTTTTCATAGGTTTTGCGGCCAATTGGACACGAATTTCGACACCATGCATTTATAATTCCTTGATGGAAACAACGGTAAAGTGTAGGCCTGACAATTTAAAGGTTCGGAGTTTGACCTCTGCTGATTTTGTTTTCTCTTTTATTTGCATTTTCAAACATTAAAATTTTGAACAACTACGATTCTGTAAAATGCAAATCAACATGTGAAAAAATACTTATTTGAAAAGATTTAAAGCAATATCTCACAATAGTGACAGTGGTACTTATGTTGTTCCGACTCATTGGTAACTTTTACCTCCGGTGAAAGTAAGATATATTTCAAAATTTTACCTTTCATGTCATTACAAAATTGGAGCAATCAAAAGTGTTTTCATGGCTGCACACAACGGCTTGTCAATAGTTGAGGTACCCAACCACTTTTTCACCAGGCATAAAATCATTATATGACAATCAAAATGAAACATCACATTTAATATGATTTTACTCTTTCACTATCTTGAAAAGGAGAAATTGATATCAATACTACAAAATAAACACCCCTTCCTCGATCGAAATTCACACAACTTTACAAGAATAGCAGTTATAATGTTCCATTACCATATCTGCGTCTGGGTTGTTAGCCCGTTCCTTTTCCATCCTGATTTCTGCCTCTATAGACTGTCGGATGGCCAGCTTACATGCCCTCTGACAGATCTCAGTCAGATCAGCACCACTGAAGCCCTGTGTGACCTTGGCTAGGTAGTCCACATCAACATCCTGGGCAAATCATTGAGGTTTTAGAATATTAGTGACAATTTACCAGAAAGAAACAACGGTAAAATATGTTTGTAGCAAACTCTGTGGGGCCAATGAAATTGGTTTGATGTAAGTAGATTTTGATATTCACAAGACAATTGTTATGAGGGGACAAAATATAACTGTGTTCCCTATAAATGAGTTTGTACTAAAAATGTTTTACTTTACATGGGAGACTGAATACTGTTAAAAGTTCATTACAATTTTTCTTTCATAAGAAGCACTTTTCATGAGAAAAATGAATTTTTATTTAATACATCATAATGACAAATTTGCATTTTCACCTCTTTTTTAAGATTCATAATTTTGTTTGTTTTCAGAAGTCGATGATCTATCTCATTCTGTTCAAAAAAGTTGTTTTTTTTGTACTAGCAATAATACATCAATTTAATTTTCGACTTTTATCCATATTGATGTCATTACAACCTGTTGTCATTATAGATCATTTGTATCAAATCAAAACAATAATCAACCTTCATAAAGTCAGTTTACATGAAAGTCAAGCCACTACACAGATCCTTCCATCATATACTGTTTGCAACCTTGCAATATTTGTTCTGAGGGATCATTGTACCTTAGAGACAGGCGATTTCCTGAGGTTTGCCTTTAGAATGGAAATTCTAGATTTGATGTCAGGAAGAGGAATGTAGATCAGTTGGTCCAGACGACCAGGTCGCAGAATGGCAGGGTCAATGATATCTGGTCTAAAAACAAACAAATTTAATGCAGGAATGAAAAATAAATTTTAAATCACATTATAGTTGTAAAATCTGGACAATTGAATTTTTAAAGTATTTTAAAAAAGAACTATCTCAGGAGCTACACAGATTTTACCTCTTCAAATGAGATTTATTTTTAGTATACTTTGTAGAATATCTTTTTACAACTAGTGCCATCAAAATCGCTAATAAATATATAGAACATTTCACTAGATAGGTATATAATTGTGAAATGTCTAGTGCCATTGGCATTGCTGATAATCCAAATTTCATTTTAATATATATGATGCATTTTTTGTTTTATCATATTTAATATAAGTTTTGTCCATTTGAAATCAGTTTGTCATTGATGAAGTATTCTTCTGACACTAGTATACTTATTAAGTAAAATGTTTTATTGTTTTTTTTTAAAATCCTAGATACCTTTAAAATGTCTTGCTAAAACTGCAATAAATGAGCATTTTGCCTTGAATACTGTTTTCCTGTTCCTCTTTCCCGAGACAGGTGTATCCACACTCTTCCCATTATTTTATCAGATTCATTGACCTGTAGCATTACTGATCAGTAATGCATTATATATGTGACAGAGTCAAGAGAGTTAAAAACAATGAAACATTCATCCTCTTGGAAGTATTTAGGGGGTCTCAACCATTTGGGAAAGATACTTTAGTTGCCAACACTCAGCAAGTCTTGTGTTAAGCAACTTCATAATTTCCCCTTTTGGTTGAGGTCACCTGTCTCACCCCAAACTAGGCAAGCAAAAGAAAGCAACGCACCTGTTTGTGGCTCCAATGATGAACACATTTTTCTTTGCACTCATACCATCCATCTCTGTGAGCATCTGGTTTATCACTCGGTCAGCAGCACCACCTGTTCACATAAAGCAATAGTAGGGTCACATGACATTCATAGTGGTGTTCATAATTTTCTTTTAAGGATACCTGTCCCATTGTACTATGGTTTTTCCATAATACAGTAACCTCCCCTTAACTTCCATTTGGATATAACTGTAAAACTATTGGGCCAGCACACGTACATTGACCAGGTAGCTCAATCGGATAGAGTGATTGTAAAACAATCCAAAGTCCAGGGTTTGAATCCTAGTCTAGCCCCACTGATTTTTTACACTAAAAACACTGTTGTTGATTATATGTTATTTCTTTCATCTTGTCTATTTTCTCATAAAAGTCTCTTAACATATGGTTTTCTTTTCAGAATTGATTATGAAAGCTATAGTCATACAGGAAAAAGCAGTTGCCAACACTTAGTTACAGTATTTGGCAGTGGTACGGGGATCCTTAATACAAACAGCTCACTGTGAGAATTCATTTCAATGTTGAGGGGCTGTACCTTTATAAACCTAGTAAAATTCATCGTTTCCAATCAAAAATTTCTGTAAAACAGCATAAACATTTCACGGTTATTTCAGGAATATCTATTCAAGATATTAACAAGTTCTTCAATTTTTTTTCCAAATCATTTAATCATAAGTCATGATGGACTTTATTGGGGAAAGTTCTTTTTAATCACACTTGCCTCCGTCTCCTGCATTACCACCTCGGGCTTTTGCTATTGAATCCAACTCGTCAAAGAACAGAACACAAGGGGCAGCAGATCGTGCCTGAAACGAGAGGTTAGTTTAAACTGGGAAATGATCTCATGACTTAATAAATGTTATATTAGCTGTCAACCATGGGCCTCACAATGAATGATTTACAATTATACTATAATTTTTTTGAAATGCCAGTAAAATTTTGTATGAAATAATGTTATTTATAGGTAAATATAAACATAATTAAACTCTTTTAAAGTTGCTTATTTTCCCCGATATTTTCCAAAATTATTTCTTTCATTATGTAGGGGTCTCATTCCCCCCCACCCCCCCACATGAAGTAATTTCCTTGGTGTTCCCTTAAACCAAGTTTAACAATTTTTCTTACTTTATCAAAAATATCTCTGACATTGGCTTCTGATTCTCCAAACCACATAGTGAGCAGTTCTGGACCTTTGATTGAGATGAAGTTGGCCTGGCATTCATTTGCAATAGCCTTAGCCAGCAAAGTTTTACCACATCCAGGTGGGCCGTAGAAGAGTACTCCCTTTGATGGTGTCATACCAAATTTCATGAATTTCTCCGGATGTTCTACTGGATACTGAAACAAGGCAGAACAAATAGTAAATGATATACATCGTGACAGAAACTATCATTATTCACATATCAAAAAACAACTGGACTCCTTGCCTTTGTAATCATGTTACCTACAATATATTTTCAAAAATGCTGTAACCATAAATTTAATTCTTAATTTGATTTTTATTTGGAACTTGCTGATTGGTTTAACTTTTATAAAGAAAAATTATGTTTTCTTTTTAGATAGAACAAAATTCAATTTTTCATTGGGATCTTTGGACCAAAATGCCCTGGTAAGAACTACTGTCTTATATTACCTGTACTAATTCCTGGAGTTCTTTCTTGACGTTTTCCAAACCTCCGACATCCTCCCATGTGACAGATGGCACCTCCACGGCAGTTTCTCTGAGAGCACTTGGATTGCTCTTTGCCAAAGCCCACTACAAAGAATCAAGATTTTTTTATGTTATAAAATATAGAACTTCTGTGCATGGTTGGAGTGAGCAAAGAAAAGCTTCTGCACCACATGCTGATCTGGAGAAAATCACTTCTGTTCATAGTCTATTATTATCCTTCATTTTAAATAACATCTAGGGCATTGTTGTAATACATTAAAACTACAGCTAATCTGGGAAGATATGCTAGAATGTTTTAAATCTTTTTTTATTTCCTGTTCTGTCTTTTTTTTTTTTTCAATGTCGGGAAACGCTCACTTCACAATCGCGACTGTCTCAAATGGTTAAGGGGAGATAACGCTTTCATAAGAAGATGGGGGACTGGAAAGCTTGAAGTGTGGAACAGGTCTGCGGCTGGCTAGAGTTGAATGAGTTAGGTACCGTTACAGGGAAATTTTAGAGGTACAACTCAAATTTTACTTGAATAAAAGAGATTAATCATTAAAAAATTGACTCATTCTTCAATAAGCCCACGTATAAATCACAATGAAACCGCCTGAGTATATGATTTCCCACATGTCAACGACCATGTGTGTCGGTCAACTTTTCCAGTTCGCAATTGATGATATATGGAAAAGTAGGTGTTTGTGGCCTCTGATTTGGACTCAGAACAGCATGTCTAGTTTTTGGCTGATAGTTTACAGATGAAAAGTCGTCAGTTTATTACATGGTGAAAGTCAGGTGCATGTAAAGCTTTTTGGTAATTTTAAAACAAAACATGATCAGAGTTATAATACGTTTCGTTTATATTGACAATTTGATTATAGCTACCAGTATTACTGTGCTATACATCAATTTGAATTGACATTGATGCAATATATATATACATATTTTGGATGATGCAACAAGACTTGAATATATGAATTAATAGAAATATATTGCTTCTATGGGTGGTCCTAAAACCCAGAAATATAGTTCTATGCCATGTACCTCCTGGAAAAAACCCACTTCTGTAAGTGAATTAATTCTGCAAATATATGTTTATTAGCATTATTAATCTTTCTACTAACCCTGAAATCTTCCATGGTCACAGCTAAAGAGTCGAGCACTTCGGCATCAATAGTGTCATCTTCTAAATCAATAAGATCCATCTTTTCTCGGATTTGCTGAAGGGCAGCCTCTGAGCAGAGAGCAGCCAAATCTGCACCAACATGTCCATGTGTCTCGGAGGCAACCTGTTCCAGATCTACATCATCACCAAGCTTCATGTTCTTAGTGTGAATGCGTAGAATTTCCAAACGTCCAGTAGCATCAGGTATACCAATGTCTACTTCCCTGTCAAATCGACCTGGACAAAAGATATAAAATGACAGCTATATAGCCCTCTACCAATGGAAATGAATCATAAAAACTACTGCAGCACCTTGACATATCAGTGCTTATTAGCATGTTCATTATTAAATGAGGAAAATAAATCCCAAAACAAAACATTCCTCTCAAGTTATTTGTATAGATTCCTTCCATTTATAATCATAAAAATAAAGACAATTGTGTCCATAAAACACATTGTATTAAATCGATTAAAAGAAGAAAAAGAACATACCAAATCTTCTCAAAGCTGTATCAATGCTGTTAGGTCTGTTAGTTGCAGCCATTACAATGACATGGGATCTCTGTTTCAAACCATCCATGAGTGTCAGGAGCTGTGATACAATCCTTCTCTCAACCTCTCCATGAGTCTACAAAACAGTGGAATTTGTTATGAAATATCCGATAATTTTAAAGAAATTTGGACATAACAATTAGGTTGACAGGAATTCCTTCACATATTTGGAACTTCAGAAAATCCACCTATAATCTGTAACCCATGAAAAGGAGAATTGCAATTTAAGACAAACTGTTCAAGTGAAATATCACTTGAATTATTTATCCCAATTTTTGTACAAAAAAAGGAAGATTAAAAAATAAAAAAAAAAGTAAAATACTTTCAACAACTGATCAACTGATGAAAAAATTGATTTAAACTGTAAACAATACAACAAATTATAAATTTGATTTAAACTGTAAATAATACAAACGAATTATTTTATATATGTACCTTTTCTCTCTTTGGTGCAATTGCATCCAACTCATCAATAAAGATAATGGCTGGTGCATTTTTCTCTGCCTCTTCAAAAGCTTTCCGGAGGTTGCTTTCAGATTCTCCAGCTAATTTGCTCATAATCTCGGGACCTGCAAGTTGTAAATACAATAAACATGATATTTTGCATTTTTTATTTGGCCACAAAATGTTAATTTTAATACATATACTTCATATAAAGACCAAGAATTAAAGACATGCAATTCATCAATGTGAATATCAAATGTGAATATTTCAGTCAAATAGGCAATAATTCTTTCTTTAGCGGATAAGATTACAATATATCATGCATGATGTTATTTTATTTATTATTCTACTAAAATTTTCTCTGTTACTTACCATTAATGAGAAAGAAGAAGGCACCCGTTTCATTAGCCACAGCCCTCGCAATCAGAGTTTTACCAGTTCCTGGTGGTCCGTACAGCATGATACCTCTTGGGGGCTACAATGACAACACCAAACATGACTTCTTCAACACATTCTGAGTAATGATACATTATATATAAACATGTATACTTACACAATATTAATCACATTGCTAGTTTAGGTTAGATAATGGTTTTTCAAATAATCACTTAAGTAAATTTAGAATGATGTCAGCTCCACTCATTCCATTCTCGTTTAAACACTACCATATTTTTATTACCACACTTTTGATTCGGATAAATTTAGTGGTTGGACAAAAAAAGACCTCAAAGCATTAAGTAATTTTCATCCCTACTTCTTTTTGTATTTACTTGAGAGAAAAACAGACTGGTCTGCAATGCTTACCTTCACACCAATAGCTTTGAAGAGCTGGGGATGTCGCAGAGGTAACTCAACCATTTCCTTGATCTGAGCCAGCTGTTTTCTGCAACCTCCAATGTCATCATACCCAACCTCATTCAGAGCTTCTTCCTCCTCCTATCCGACAAAACACAAAATCAAATAAGTCTTGGAGGGCATGATAATATCACTTCATCTTTATTTACTTTCGTGTTATGAAAGAAATAGAATATCTAACTCATGATGATTAATTCTTATTTCTATTCATTCTGTTGAGTTAGTTCTCAATTTATTATCTTAAGCTTGTAGACTCTATTTGAAAACTGACTTGCATGAAAGAATGTATCCCCTTCATATCTATAGAATAATTGGCATCAACCTTTTCACATGTTAAACTGTGAAGTTAACATCAAAATGAAATATACTTTAGTTTGTACTTAGGTATATATATTAATATAGCACAACCAGTGAAGGTTTATTGTGGGACATTTGGATGATTTTTACAATATGTATTCATATGAAGGTGATAGAGTACATATCAAACTAGTTATCGAATCTATACTTACCAACCTGGAGAAAATGTTTGAAAATATCATTTACCTCTCTCTTAACAGGATCCCCTTCACAGTGGATGACGGTTTCTGGTGCTACAATACAGTATGGATCAGGGTCTGTAGCGATCACCTTGAACTCCACTCCTCTCATGCCTCCACGGATGAGGAATATATCTCCTTTCTTAATGGGTCTGTATGCTTCCATGAAGTATGGTTTGAGATAGACATCAAAAATATTTCTAAAATAAAAAGAAATTATGTAACAATACTTAGAAAGGTACATGAATACACTTTGTACATCTGAGGATTTTTTTCCAGATGACATCAAGTCGTGGATTCAGATGGTGGCCCCACCCTACCAAATTGTTAATTTCCTTGATGTCAATGACTTCACTTGCATGTTTTGACAAAAGTTTATCTTCTTTCATTAAATCCTGAATATGTCTGTGCAACATTACTATAATTTGCAACTACTAAACTAACCTCTTTCTGTAATTTTTTTTTGTTTTAAATATATTTAACCTCCGAAAATAACTTTATGACTTCTAAACTAACCTCTTTCTGCAGATTTTGTTTTGATTTAAATATATATGGAAATAACTTTATGAATTAATTCCTTTTGTGTGAAAAGTCTGAGGATTATGGACTTTAATTACAAGAATTTACCTGGCAATTTTGGGAATGGAAAGTCAAACCTGTTCCATAATAGGCAAAATGGATTTTATCATTTTCCATAAAAGGGTTCCACTGTTTAAGTAACAGTGACCTTAACCTGTGACTGAGTTCGGAACTATGACCAGAAGGGCTTTGCTGGTTTTTTAACCCTTATCCCGCCAAGTGCAGCATATGTCGTTTTTATAAACCAGTTTCCCACTGCCAAGCGCGGCATATGTCGTTCCGCAAAACATGCCTTCCACAGCCGATCGCGGCATATGTCGATTCTGGGATTGCCCGTTTAAGTACGGAACTGTGGTGAGAAACTCACTGCTAGCTTTACTTAGAAATGATGACGTGTTAGCTTATACCTTAATTTCATTGGCTGACTACGTGATACCCACAGTTTATTTATAAACTAAGCCACCGTGACATTTAGAGCACGGATTCAAGGTTTTGTTGACAGCGCGAAAAAATGGCGGACGACAAACTGACAGAAGACGAACGACTGCAGATTATCGGCGATATATTTGACAGTAACAACAGTGACAATGACTTTTAGGGATTCGGACCAGATGATTTACTTCGTGACGCAGAATTCGTACAAGAAATTGACTTTGATCAATTATATAAAAACGTGGACATTCCTGAAGACGACAACACAGCGTACCACCATTAAATGCCCCATTCACGGGACGGCCCGGTTTGAACAAAGATATTCCAGGTGACTGCGACCATATTTATTTTTCTCTCTCTTCTTTTTGACAACAATATGTGGACGACTCTTACGACAGAATACTAAGTACTTTTGATTATGAAACTTGGAATTGTTTTCAGGTGATGGTAATAAATAACCTGTTTATTAGACGTAAATCATCTTTATTACATACAAAACTCACCTTTTCTAACCTGTAGTTTTGGAAAGGTAAGCGAGATATCCAAAATTACTTTTGATACGCAAAGAAGAAATCTTCCTGAACAAAACACCTTATAAATATTTTCTTGGATTCGATAAAGATAAAAAGTTATTGTTGGTTTAATCAGCTAATTAATTTTGATTAATAAAGCTGTTGTTTATTTGGCAGTGGGGAGGTATACCACAAATTGTATACACAGCAGTGGTGTGTATATATACACATGAGTGAATGGCAGGATAAGGATTAAGCCAGCCCATGTACTAAGTTTGAGCTTTTTGAAATAATTTCTTAAGTTAGAATCCACTGAAGCAAGCACTTTTATACGTGAAATTCTCATTTTAGTAAGCGACCTTGAGCTTTTACAGACCATGTCCAAAAACTAAAAAGAATAACCTTGACACAGGACACACTATTACAATAGGGGTATTCCTCTTCACTGGAGCAACTGGCATAACAGTCTGGGTTTTGTGCAATCATTTGTTTTGAAATAAGGACCCATACAAGAAATGTAAATGCCCAGATAGAAAGAAATCAGGTATGATTGCTACATCCACCAACCTTTCTTCAATTTTAGCATAAATAAATTAGAAAAATCTCTTTTAATCCAACAGATTTGGATATACCAAAATCATACTTTCTCTGGACTCTGACAAAATCAAACATATTCAAGGTTAAGTTCATTTCCCTCGAATTTGATGTTACATTAACCTACCCAGTGAGGCCTTCCACGGTGTCATCAATTGGTAGGACATGAATCCTCTTTCCGTATTTTACATCTGGACAGGCTTGGATGCTAAAAAATTGAAGTGTTTTTATTTTAATTTGTCTTCTTATAACATATATATTATTGCAACATAGTATTATGATGACAAACAAGTTATGACTTTAGCAAATTGAAAATGACATTCCATCTTTTAAAGGACTGTCTCTTTAGCAACGCTGAATACAAACATCACATAGTGTTCATCCCAAATTTTGTATGAAAAATATAGAAGAACTTGAAGATTAGACGTGCTTCATTTTTTAAAAATGTTTTTGTATCAAGATATCAACTTGATCAATGTAATTTCAGGAGTGTTTGCATTACTTTATTAAGTCCTTTACCTGACAACATCTCCCAAACGCACTCTCAGGTTGTTTCTGACACATCTGTTGATTCTGATTTTGTCATCTGTAACTGTATCATCTGACAATACAATGCATACAGTTTCCTTACGTCTCTTGCCCTTCAGAAGGACTGTGTCTCCACGAAACAGCTGTAGCTCATCCATTTTAGTCTACAAAACAAAACCAAACATTTCCCTCAAACAATCGCTCCCATACAATTTTTGAATATTAATATTCCTGAATGTTTCTGAACCATTGAAAACATGATATGTTACACAAAAAAATGACTTTTTCTAATATTTGGTGAAACAGTTGGTTTAGCAAGTATATAAAAACAAATAGAATTCAACCGGAAAATAAAAATTAAAAGATATGTTACTGCCAATCATGGGATTATGTTAGAACAGAAATGAAACACATACCATTGAAATATTATTTTAAGATGCAATTTACTCCTTTGAGTTAGGTATGTCAAATTATCATAAAGGTATAAACATACGTTATTACATGACATTGAGATTGATATAAAACCATCTGTTCCATTAAAAGTAAAGATTCTTTGACTTGTGCAATTTTTTGCATCCTCAAACAGCTAAGATCATATGAAGAGCCATATAAGGGCCACTTTGAATTGTGATCTCACTGAAATGTCATAAGCAGGTCCAGTACACTCTGCCGATTGAGCTATATAGCTATAAAGACCTATATAGCTATAAACACCTATAAATTATAGCTGTATTGAGCTATATTTTCTCAGATTTCAAATTTCATTAAATTAAAGCAAAGTGGCATAAAACAATAAGGTGTATGGTAATGTTGACTACAAAGAGCATACAGTTAGATGTTTATTTTCATTTTTCATAAATGTAAAATTTCCGATTTTTTTACATCATTATTTTTTAAAAAGAATACTTATTTTTAATGTCTTTTGTTATCAACCTAATGATACAATCTTCTTTTAAAAGCGACTTTGTTTCGTTTTCTTTAAAAAAAGAAAATCACTTGAAAATAGCTCAAAAGACCTATTTCAGATAGGTCAATAGAGCTATTATAGGTCTTTACAGCTATATAGCTCAATCGGCATAGTGTACTGGACCTGATAAGCTTGACACAGTAGCCGACAGGCTGACCAGTGGTATCAAGGCAGATGCCATTGAAAAACAGGCAGTGTAAGGAATTGGAAAAGTAGAGGTACCAAGTTTATGTGTTAAATGGGGACAGGAAATCAACTTTGTCCTTTTTCGATGCCCTCTATAACCCTAAAGGCAGGAGGAAACCCTAAATCTATGGGGGCCCCAATATTAGCTGTCTTGTATGATCATGAAATAAGGACAAAGGAAGTCTGTTCTTGTCCAGAAACTACAAAAGTAAGAAGGAGAAGAACAAGTTTAAAGACAAGATGAAAATACATTTTGATTAATTTATACATACCTGTGAAAGTGATACAACTGAGTTGTCTTCATTGATAGCTTCTTCAACAAGGAGCCTGTTGGGCCGCTCCTTCCGCTTGAGGATAGCTGTTGCCAAGTCATCACTGATTAAAGAATAAGAATAAAAAGATTGTAAATTAACAAATGTCTCTTTTTCCATGTACCTCTGCTATGAATAGATCCAAGGAGTACAGGTTACTGATCTAGTAGTACTAGTATCCTATTGATTGAGCTAAAGGGAAAACTATCCAGGGTCTGTAACAATCAACTAGTCAGACAATTCTTCAATATAATATAAAGCAAGATAAACGTATGTCTGTTTTTCAATTTAAAACATTTGCAGATCAAGGAAAAGGGGGCCTTAAAGTAATAATCCCCCCTCCTTTTTATATTTCTTATTCTATAACTTTTGGGGGGCTTCAACCCCCAAATGGAGCTTTGTCCATTGATCATGACTCCTCCCACCTCCACAAAATCCTTGATTCAAACATGCACCTGAAAATTAGATATAATGAAAAAAATGGAATTTTAATGACAAAATTAAAACAAAACTTTAATTACACAGGAATTATCACAACCCCAATATTACCTTTCTAGATTGTCAGATTGTTTGCCTTCAGGTCTTGGTGGCATTTTCACTCTCGTGTTGTTGAAATGTTCCCAACTATATAGTAGTACTTATCCAGCTATACTGACAGATGATTCAGAAGTCATCATATATATAGTGGTGTATGACATAGCGGAATTGAATACAAATCTCGAAAACGTCGTGACGACACGTTTACTTTATCAGCCAAAATTGTGTATGACGTCACTGTGTACGAAATAAACAAAGAAAAGCTATGTCAGTATGTGTCAAATTTATTTTTGGAACAAAATAAAATTCCAAAATCATAACTATATTAGGCCATTTTCGTAACTAGAATAATAAAACAAGAGGTGATATTTCAGACAACGATATCGCTCGAAAACCAACACAGAAGAACAGCTGATCTTGGTCGTCTGCAAATCGATACTGCGGAGATCCAGACGAAACTTGCCTGGACAGAACAAAGCCGAACATCGCGTTTGAAAATTTGTCTCCTTTTGAACTTTCTTTTAAGCTCTGATTATGTTGCTGAAACAAATATATCATTCATATGTGACCTTCTTGTTTCGTTAAATGTAACATAAATAATTCCGTTTTCGTTTTTCACCCGGGTTTCCGTTCATTGCGAAACCGGTCATGACGCAGGGAAATTGAACAAACTAAAACGGTATATTTTTATAAGTACTGTCCATTTGAACTTACTTTCCCGTCAACATCAAGTTTTCATCCTACTTGATAAAACTGTGAACCAATACTCACTTTGTTCCATCTGCCATCTCTATATTTTTAAATAGAATATTCACGCGAGGTCCACGTCCTCTTCACTCACAAAAATGGCCGTAAAGTTATTGTATTTGCTGAACCAATCAACGGGAACTCTTATCCGGAAAGACAATCTACATGATAAAGAACATTTCCCATCATAAGAGTGAGGAAAGAAGCTATAAACTTATGATAGTCTGTTTTGTCTGAAAGAGTTTATATTGGTTAGTTAAATGATCTAGTATGTGTCATGATGTTTTAAATAATTTTCAGGATTAATAGCTATGTGCGGTTTATATCTGAATTTATATAACATGGTCACCATTCACGTCGAAATTAATTCCGTCAAAATTGGGGTTTGCTATCAAAACAAAAGAAAGTGTCGCAGTTATTTTTAAGTTTATGAAAGGACTCGGTATAAATATAAAGGATCTTACATGAGTTTTAATTTACGAGATTTATGAAGTGAATCTAAGATGGGTTTTTTCCCCCATTTTACCAGAGACGTATATATTACGTCTCTGATTTTACCACCCTTCTAGCAAACTAAAAAAAATCGTGACGAGTTTCAAAAGATCATATAAAATAAAGAAAAAGAAGATAATTTATCGGGCGATCAAGACTTTTTTTGCGAATTTCAAATTAAAGTCTATGATACCGCCATTCTGACCAAATCATATATCTATTCTCCGCTAAAATGTGACCTCAAATGATATATTGAAGGCCATGGCGTCGGTTCATTATCATTTTATGACCCTTCGATGCTTTAAATACATGAGTTTAAAAGCAAAACAACGAAACGTAACAGGTAATAGTATGGTAGTCACGTGATAAATATTATATAGTATCTTGCATGAATGTCATATCATATGATATAAGGAGGCACGGTAGTGTAGTGGTAGGACGCCGCGCTCGTGACCGAAGAGTTGCGGGGTCGAGTCACGGCACGGCACTGTGCTGTATCTTTGAGAAAGATACTTTACTCCGCTTGTTCCAGTCTACACAGCTGTAAAAAGAGTACGTGGTTGGGCAGTGCTAGAATTGTTGGATGCTATCTGGTGAGCGTCGAAATGAATGGCGGCATCGGCTGTGTGCTCCCCAGTGTATTGAGAAAGATATTGGCTGGTTGCGAATGCCCTATAACCACGGATAATAATTTGTGAACCGCTTTGAGACGACCTACAAACTAGGTTGTGATAGAACCTCGAATTATTATTATTATATGCGGATAGTTTTGAAAGACTGTAGATAATGTTTCCCCATAGAACCCAACAGTATCAAAAAACAGGCTGAGCTGCTTGATTAATTGGGGGCAGCCAATAATATTTGAATACTAGTAATTGTATATATTGCAATAACATTTTGTGAAAATGGCAATATATTGATACAATTTTTTAACAAATTGCCTTGGTAGTTCAAGCACATTTCTGTAATAATATTCCAGAAATAACGTTAACATCATGATTGGATCAATATTATCCTTCTTAAGATGTTTTGGTGTGTGGATAACTTTCAAAATTATAAGAATTAATTTTCAACTTATCATTGAAGCTTACTGAACTGGTTCTCACATAATAAAATATTGACTTTTAGGAATACAATATATACCTTGTGATATATTGTAATATTCCTTCAATATTGCAATAAATTGCAAAGTGAAAATTGCTTACAATACCCACCCCTAGTATCATGTGATAAATCAAAGTTGGACAGTGATGCATTTTCTTTGATCAGTCATTAATTAAAACTTCAAACATAGTCTAACAATATACATTGGCATTGGTCTGCTTGAAACTATCTAGAACGTGACGTGCCACATATCAGATCAAAGTTGACTGTAAAAGAGTTGTCTGCCCTTTGGTCAACTTCGTCACGTTTCGCCTATGCATTACCGGCTCTTAAAGTCAGATTGTTAAGCAGTCCTTGATATATTGACTTGGTATCGTTTATTACTCCCGATTGCAGTTAACTGTGTTTATTTCGAATTGAACGAATGTGTTTGCATTTACATCAGGATCAGCTACACGTCGTAAAATTGTAAGTAAAGCCATCCGATCGAGTGGTTTTGCCAAAGAAAAGGCGGCGTTTGGTGAGAGGGTAGCCCAACAATTTATTATATTTAGAAACTGTGAACAAGCCAATCACTTAATACCTTTGGAATGACATCATTGGAAATCACAACTATTCAGCCAATCAGGTTGGAGATAGATATATCTAAAAATAAATCCGTAATTTCCTCGTTTTCTTTAGTTGAACGGCAACTGGTGCTGGGTGAAAATCATAGCCAAGAAAAAATTCCAGTCTAACAATTTTATTGGCACTTGACATATCACATTTTAAATCACAGTTTACATATTACAACCGTTCCTTTCCGGCGAAATAAAAAAAATACACACTTAGCAATTAACAATTAATGTATAACACTATTTGTAGATAAAAATTAAAAATAATAATAAAAAAACAAATGAACACATCACATCAGAGATCTCTTTTAGGTTTTGACACAAGAGGACAGATTGTTAAGAAATAAAAAGCACAATTTGTAGATAAATCAATGTATTAGAAAAAAATACTTGCAACATTTAACAAAAACAAATAATACAGTGTAAAATCTCTTACAATTTACAATGTGCTTTCAACAACTTGATTTATACATATATGTATTGCCATGGAATGTTACTTCATATATGCAGGTCAGGTATTACTTCATAAAAAAATAAATAGCATTATATTTCATAAAGAAATAACATGTGCTATAAACAAAGCAAACACATACCCTCACACATATGTAACTAGTAAGTTTTCTTAACTTTCTGTCACGTTAAATACAGGATTACCAACAACAAATCTTTTTCAGCTTTTCTGTTCCGTGTATATGTTATGACTTACCACAACTAATTTTATTATGATCTGCACCACCACAACATGAACATTTCAGTGTCTTTGATTTTTGCCTTTGTGAATTTTCCAAGATTGAGATTCTATTTTGTTTTTCCATGATCTGGCGCAATGCTAGTTGAGGTTTATGACAGCTGCCTCGAAAGTATTGTTTTGTGATGGTGTCATTTAATTTTTCCAGTCCTTGTTGGGTAAACGAAGAAATATCTCCATGACGCCTGATTAATTCATGTGCATGACATCGAAGAATGTGAATGTAAGGTGTGATGTCCCGGGACTGAAAGGCTTCAACATACAGCAAACACCACTCTTTTGTCCGTTCTTCTAATTCATCAGCATCAGGAGTTTCAGATTTCATAATTTTCTCAATTTGAGAAAAACCATCCCATACTTTCTGCAAAATTTCTGCTCGTCCATCATCTGAAATGAGATCATTTGCACAGAATGATTTCATCAGTTTCAGTTTTTCTGGGCCAATAAGATCTCTGTACTCAAGGCGCTTTGTATCCCGGTTTACAGAGAGCGAGAAATGTATTCCCAATTGTTCCAAAACAGTTTCTAATTTTGCGACATGTTGAACTTTACTTCTGTCAATCACTCCTGTGTTGAAGGTAGTGTTTCCATTTATGTTATCAAGTGTTCTGAGCTCTGCTATAAGCAGATTGAAAAGTTTGTCTGTAATTCTTAGAAACATGTGCAAAGGGTCCACCACAACCCTCAGTGGACCAATATGTGGGAACAGTGGGGGATTAACTACAGAAAATGCTTTTTTACTAATTTTTTTGCGAGCTTTCAGACAACCGTCAGGGCATTCATACAGAGACCTAGCACCCTTGGTTACATCCTCCATTGACCATTCTAAATCTAATTTACATTTTTCAGACTTACTGCACTTGCAATACACACAGAAATATTCTGAAGCTATACAAGGTATTCCCACTGCAACCAAGAGAAACTTATAATCTCCACCAAGGAGTATTTCAATAGTAAAATCCCTTCCATCAACAGTGATAGATGAATCCTGTAATTCCCCAACTTCCTGTCGTAAATCTCTAAGTCCATCAGCAAGCTCACTGTAAGCTTCCTTCGAATTCATCACACAAAGAGGGTAGTTTCCACTGGCAGCTCTGCATCTCTTCTCATTGATCACTGTGAATGACACATTTACAACGTGCAGACGTTTACCAACATTTGTACCATCTCCTGATAACTTGATTTTGATTTTTCCATCAGGTGCAAATTTATTATCTTCTGCAGTTAATGAATTCAAAACTTGCAAAAGTTTAGTTTTCAAGGACTGTTGGACTCCGAGGCCATTGGGAGTATCCACAATCTTAAATCCAGTATTTAGCTTATTCACATATTCCTGTAACACATGACGCCTTGGTAATTCTTTACAATACATACTAAGTTCGGCATATGCCTCTCTGCTGATATTGAAAGTGTCT